GCCATGGCAACACATTTTAGAGTGACCTGATGTGAAGATCCTTACATCATCTGTACAGAGGTGACGCAGGGCCAGTCCAGTATGCCACAGATCAGCAGGGCCTTCCCCTTTGTGTATTTTAATATTGACTAACATTTTAATTTACCTGTGGTTTCAAATCAAGCAGAGCACAGCTTTACGGTGGTTCTCCTAAATGTTCTTCTACAATATGACACGGAGACGAACCCATCAGTAAATATCAGTATCAGCCTGAGGACCAAGAACACATGACATACCTCACTAAGAGTGAAACGATAACCCATTTTTATTACACATATAATATAAAAATAATTTTAATAAAACCACATCTCATGTAAATCATTAAAATCCCATCAGAGCAAATAAGAGTGAATTCACAACATCTGGATTCGGTGAGTTAAAATGAGTCGTCTGCCTTTTTCTCAGGACACTAATAATGTACCCCCCCCAGCCAGTAACTGTTCCGGGTCAGTAGCCGGGGTTGGGTTTATTTGAGCACATTAAACAACCGGAGCTAAACACGCTCATTTCCGGGAGCGCAGCTGCTCCAGGTGAGGGAGCAGCTCCTCAGCACTTGGTCTGCTGCGGGCCTCCCCACTCCAGCAGTGGCCCAGCAGAGTCCTACACTGCCGTCCCGTCTCCGACCGGAACACCGGGTGGCCGTGAACAGGCGGCCGCAGGTTGTGCGCCACCACCGCGTAAAGCACGTGCTGCCTGTCGCCAGAGTAGGGCTGCTCTCTGGTGATCAGCTGCCAAAACGTGATCCCGAAAGAGAAGATGTCCACTTTGGGAGACACCCCCTCGCCCTTCAGCAGCTCCGGGGCTCTGTGCGTGTACGTGCCGCCTACGTGGCTCAGGTGGGGGCTGAGCGCGCTCACCTCGCAGCCCTGGTTCAGTTTCAGGGAACAACCGAAGTCTGCGATCTTACAGAGCTCCTCAGCAGACACCAGCACGTTGGCTGGTTTTATGTCCAGGTGCACAACGCCGTTTGAGTGCAGGAAATGCAAACCGTGCACAATGTCTGTGGCGTATCTGAGCCACCTGTCCTCCGCCAGCAGCTCCGCACCTCCGTAGATAATCTGTTGCAGGCTTCTGCTCCCCACAAACTCCATCAGTATCGTTCCGATGCTGCTTTCGTCTCCGAAGTCCGCCGGCACGCAGGTGGTAGCTGCGATGATGCGCACGATGTTCCTGTGGCGCAGGTGTGCTGCGTTCAGCTCGGCCCAGAAGCTCTGGCGGGACGCCAGCTTGTTCTTGGCGCACTTCTTGACCTTCTTGAGCGCGACGGTCTCCCCGAAGTACTCCGCCTTGTAGACGGAGCCGAACCCTCCGGAGCCCACGGGCTGCACGGAGCGCAGCTCCTTCCACTGGATCACAGTGGACCAGAGCCGGCTGGCCACTCTGCCGTGGAACCGCTGAACGGGAACCTGTAAGGTGGAGCCGTGGGAGTGCTTGGTCAGCGGGCTGCTGCAGGTCCCGATGTCCAGAGAGGGGCAGACATGACTGGGCAGGAGCCGGGTCGCAGGGATCGGAGACGGCATTGTGCGCTGGTGGAGCGTCTGTGCAACCTGAAGCCGGCCACTGAATAAACGGCACCTTGTCGTCGTCGTCTTCTTCTACTACTTCCTTGGCGTGTTACGACAGTTGGCATCCTGGTGACGCCTTACTGCCTCCTTGTGTCTCCAGTCCTCGTCACCGTTACCCCCAGAAACCCAAACAGCACTCTGGTCCCGCTTATGTCTGTAACCTGCGCTCCGTAAGTTATATAAGAACACATTAACTACATTATTGAGGATATGTAAGAAACAATATTATTCTAAGGTATTAGAGGAGAATAAAAATAATATGAAAGGTACCTGGAAGATATTAAATAAATTGATTAGAAACAGTACCAGCAGGAGTAATTACCCCCCATATTTTATGGACAATGATATACCGGTCAACAGATTGGAGGATGTAGTAGACAGGTTTAATAGGTTTTTTGTGAATGTGGGTCCTAGCTTAGCAAGTACCATTCGTACAGACGTTAATATAAATGACTATACAATTGAAAGAAACATGAGTTCTATGTTTCTAAAGCCAATTGTTGAAAAGGAAATTATAGATATAGTGAACAAATGTAATAAATCATCCAGTGATAGTGATGGTATCAGTATGACAATGGTTAAATGGACAACTGAGGGGATATGCAAACCATTATCTCATGTTTTTAATATGTCGTTTCGACTTGGTCAGTTCCCAAGTCATATGAAAATAGCAAAGGTTATTCCATTGTATAAATCTGGAGATAAGCACAACTTCACAAATTATAGACCGGTTTTTCTGTTGTCACAATTTTCAAAAATCTTGGAAAAACTATTCAATAACAGATTAGACACATTTATTGATAGATATAAAATCCTCTCTGATTGCCAATATGGTTTTAGGTCGAAC